ACTGGCTGGAGGAGGTACATGTGCATAGTCAGCCTATCCAAGGGTATCATAAGTTTTAATGGAATTGCTGTAGATGGAAAATGGTAGTCCCTATATATGAAAAATGTCCTCACTCTCCAGTACTAATTAATGATGCTGACTTGATTATCCTCCACAGGGGAAAATCAAGACAACTTCTGTACCATAGAGTCTCACAATAGGAATTAAGACTTCATTCAGATACCGTGCAGCTGGGTGCAATATTCCATTGAAATTCCAGTCTACACCATGATGCTTCCACCTCTAAATGCATAATGTTTAATGATGTTCTGGGCCTGATTTTGTGTGCCTTATTCTCTTCAGATCCTTACACGCTACCATCTGATTCCAGGGCAGATCTGGACATATCTGTGAATAGGATATTGTTTTGATCTGATGAAGTCTAATTGGGATATTGATAACAATACTTTTTTCTCTGGATTGGATTGCTAGTGAGACACAAACACATGGTACTCTGATGTACAGTCCCTTCACGTGAAGCCTTTGGTGTGTAGTACTAGCAAATATTGTCTCACCAAGTTATGCTGCAACTACACATGTAATAGTTGTGGAGGTTGCTCATTAATTCCGCTAGGCTATTATAGCAGCATTGCAATCTTTAAAAGTGTTGGTAGGTAAGCCTTGGTAGATCTGATGTCTCTGGAAAATTGTTCAACCTGTTTAGAATTGTTTCCACATTCAAAAAATTGCTCAAAGATTAATGCTAAAGAAAACAGACATATAGATAGACTGTCACGTTTCAGTGTGTCAGATTTGAGTGTTCATTATCTGACATTAATCTTCTTTCTGTCATAGAAAAAGGAATATCATCAAATTTTAACATTCAAATTTATATCATATATTCTGACATATAACGTGCACCATAATTTTAAACTACATTTATTCATTTTCAAGTTAATTTGCGTTATAATGCATACCGTATTTTTTACGAAGAAACCTAAGAGATATATGTGCAATGCTCTTATCTACTGAAGTCATTCACTCAGATTATTGCCACACATTCGAACAATAGTATATTAAATTGATAAGTGATTAGGGAGAAAATATGTACGTGGGAGGATGCTTGAGGTAGTAAATACTTCTGCAAAGAGGATGGGTACAATTCAATGCAGGCGTGCACAAGAATGCCATTCTAGTGTTTCAAAAAAGGGAGATAGAATTTAGGGTAAGAATGCTCTTCTGACGCGAATGAATTAGCGAAATAAGGTATAACATTTTTTTCTATCTGCAGTCATTTGAAACCATGATTTCGAAGTGAACTTTGAAGGCTTTAGTAAATTGCATTTGCTTTAGTTGAAATACAATTGATCTAGCATTCCTTTTAGTAGTAAACTAGCAGCTTCACTGCCAGCCTTCGTCTGGCTTTTAAATGTACTGGGAAAATGTCTGAAGGGAACACCAAACAATAAATTTAAAAACTGCGTAGAATTTTACTCTGCAGACCAATTTCATAAAAAAAAAAGTTATTACATATAACAAAATTACAATGAAATAAGCAATATCCTTTAATACAAATATTAATTATCCTAATAAATAAATTAACCAACATCCCTTTGCAAAATCTTAAGAACTCAAATGGTATAAAGGAGGTTAAGAACTTTGTTTCCTAAAACAAAATCACTCAAAACTTTTCAATATCTTAAAAACAGTGAAATGAGCAATAAATAACATAAAAGAATTTAAAAAAAAAAATCTGAAAAGCAAAGTATAATTAATGATATTTTATCTTATATTTTCAAGAGAAAAAAAATACAATGAAATAAGCTATATCCCTTAATACAAATATTAATTATCCTAATAAAAAAAATTAACCAACTTTCTGTTGAAGGAAAAAAATCATGCAAAACTTTTCAATATCTTACAAACAGTGAAATATGCAAAAAATAACATGAAAGCAACTCAAAAAAAACAAAAAATTTAGCGCAGAATTTTACTCTACAGAACAATTTTTTCAAAAAAAAAAGTATTATATATATAGATGACAATTAAATATGCCAATCTCTTAAAAACAGTGACATAAGAAATACGATTAAAAATTGTTGCCAAACCCATATTTCTAAAAGAATGAAACTATTCAATATGATGCGATTTCATCAAAAATCTATCAACAACAATAAGACAGGAAAATTGTTGCCAAAATCACATTTTTAAACATGTGAGAAGTGTACTCGGAAGCTTCATTTAAATTATTTTTTTTAAATACAAAATATGATCATTTTTCCAAAAATTTTTTTTTAAATACAAAATATCGTTTTTCCAAAATTTTTTTTGTAAAAGCAGTCACAAGGATGAAAGTTTAACGTGTCCAAAAATCAAAGAAAAATAAACTGTACATTTTTAAAAATAAACTTTTTTAGAAAATATCCCTTTGAAAAGGTGTTAAGCTCCCTTTGTTAAATAAATTCGTATTTAATTGATTTATTGAAACACAAAATTTATTTTAAGTTCGTAAAGTAGCTAAGATCCTACGTTTCACAACAACGAAAAAAATGTGAGTGTGGTGTGAGTAGTAAAATCTCGCTTTTCTATAGCCCATTATGTCTCAAAATAACACGATTTTGTCACAAAACATATAATTAAAAAAATTCGAATTCGAATTTCGGAAAAATCGCTTCGAGGTGCACTGGCTCTTGTCCAGATGCACCTATGCACCAAATTTCGTAGCCGTGGTTCAATTAGCTTACGCGCAGCGCGAACAAAAGACACACACACAGACAGACTCTTTCTTTTATTATATGTAGAGATATGGCTCCTTCCAACGAAACAATGCAATATTGGTTCCAAATGCAAATTCATTCAGATTGCTAAGAAAATTCAAATCGTGCTACAGCAAGAATGTTCGCATTGGTAAAAGTGGAATGGATGATGATTATTTATTTATGGATCAGAATAACAATGATGGTGAAAATAAAACAGAATTCAATGTTGTGCTGAAGATATAACGGAAGATGAGCATAATGAACTTTTCATGTTATAGCGAAAATTTTAGTTCATAACGTATGTCATTTCTTTTAAATAAACATCTTCATAATATGCTATTACACTGCTGTCATAATATGCTATTATTATATTCATAATATGTATTCATAATATGCTATTATTATATTCATAATATGCTATTATTATTTAGGTACATGTAAAAATCTAAATTTTGTACACTGATTTTTCCTTTATTTTTTATTTATCACTTTTATATCCCACATATAATATGCACCTGTAAATTTTCATCTTATTTTTTGTATTAAAAGTGCACATTGTATGCTGGAATATATGGTAAACACTTCACATTAGCATTTAAATGAGTCTCCTCAAAACCTTCAGAATTCTGTCCTCTTTGATGACTATTTAATTAGCATACCTTCAAGCAGTTAATTGTGATTGGCTGTAATACATGAAATTTTTGTGTATTACCAACTACACATCTGCATTTGTAGTGATGTTCAACCACTCAAATTCAACTATGCTTTTTAAAATTACGAATTTACACTGTATGCTTAACTTTTGAAAGTCAGTGTAATAGCATATTATGAAGTTTATATTACTTTTTACAAAAATATTACGTATACATTAATGACTAAATAGCTATTTTTACAATTTTACATTATATTTTATGTACATATTACTTAATTCACAGCAGATATATATGCAAGAACAAAATAACCTTATTTCATTAAACACAAATTGCATTTACAAGCATAAATATGATGTCAATTAGAATATTAAAAGAGTTTTAATTGAATTTTATCTTTCAATATTTTTTTTTTTTTTTATTTTGTAGCATTTACGTTAAACCCTTGTTTATGGATTTTCTAAGAATTAATGAAATAGAAAGTAATTTAAACATCTTTGTTCCTTATTGTTTAATGTTTGTTCCTTACAGTATCTTATTTCTTATAGTTTTTAACTCTTAATTTTCAGAAAAAAAGAACTAATGAATAACTTATCAGCTAATATTATACTAGATGCTGATTTCCAAGACTCTAATGAATACCTGTAACTGTTGAACAGTGAATCCATCTTTTGAAGAAATGCATTGATATTGGTCAGAATTATGTTGAAAAACTAATATTTCCAAGCAAAAAAAAGGGGGAGCAATTTATATAAACTATTCCTACATAATTAATTTTGCATCTTTTCATGTCTAAAGCCAAAATATGTGAACAAAACTGAACTAGCATATCAAGCATCCTTATATTATCAAATCTTTGCCATTTTAGAGCTACACAGGAAAAAAATTGTAACAGCAAAGTAGTTTTTAAACAAAATAGTTCATATTATTTAAGAGTAAGCTTTTTATATAAATTTATTGCACTTGAAGTGGTTTAACCATAACTGGACATTTTAATTGTTTACTCCATAACTGTTTCTGTGACTGCATTATTTCATATATCTAAAAGTGAAAAGGCACTGTATGTATGTAAATGTAAACGTATCTGTATATAAGTTAGAATGGGTTCCGCTGGTGCTCATGTGCGGATGCATGCATTCTTGAAATTTGATTTTGTTAAATATAAAAGTTGTTATGTCATGAAGATGACAAATGATTTAATTAGTTAAGTGAATTCCTTCTCTTCCAGTATAATGATCATATATTATAACTTATTACCCTACAGAGGTGTACTCGATATAGCTCACACTTACTTAAGTTACTTCAGATTCACTTTTATATAACTTTAATTATAGCAAACATAACTATTACTATTATTATAACATCAATGATCATTAAACATATGAATAATATGTAACAAATGGTCATTTGTTCCATCTGTATAATTACAGAATATAAATTATTCTTAAAACCACATAATGTGTCATCTAGTAACAGTCGATCAGTTTACATAGAAACATAATTACTGCAGTGTGTTATAAAAGAAAGTTTCGGAATAAATAACGATAGTAAATAATTAAAAAATAAAAATACTTGACCTATACAAAAAATAATGAATGTTTTAAATACTTACATGTTTTTCCTTCTCAGCGTAATATCCTTCTTTGGGTGGAACTGGAATTTCCAATCCTTTGAGGTTTTGAGAACAACCACATTGATGTTGCTGCATGTTTTTCATTCTATTTTTTAACATCATGATTTCTTTTACCATACTTGCATTATTAGTTTCTAAAGACATTATTTTAGCTCTTTTCTGATCTAATTCATACTTGAGCTTTTTCGTTAAATTATCTGTTTCAAAACATAAGTTGCCTGTAGAAACAGCAGGCTGAATACCCTCCGGTTCAGAAGTTTGTAACTTATTAAACTGACCCTTGCTGTTGTTTTCATTTTCTGATGATGACAGAGAATTTGCATCATGGCTAAAATATTTTTTATGACATTCATTGAGTTGTGTTTTTAGCTTTTCAATCTCGACCAACTGCAATTTTATTTTTTGTTTAAAATAATTATTTAATTTCTTTATGTTTTCCTCCTCTTTTTTAAAATCTTTTAATTTGTTGGACAATTTTAAAACCATTATTTCGCTTTTCTGAATTTTATGTAATTTATCTTGCATCTCTTTTTTATCTTCCACTTCTTTATACAGTTTCTTCTCTAAATCAGATATATTTTTGCAGTGCTCTTCTTTAAGTGCTAATATTTGCTCAGAGTACTCTTTTTGTATCTTATCCATCTGCTCTTTAAATTGCTGCTCCTTCTCTTTTTCAGCAAGGGCAAATTTTTGTTTCATATTATTGAGTTTTGTGTTCATTATACCAAATAATTCATTCTCTTGATCAGTAATTTCTTGCTCATATTTTTCTTCTAGTTCTTCTATTTTTTCCATAATTTTAGTATTCCATTTGAGTTTATCATCTTCATGCATTAATTCCAGACTTTCAATTTTATTTCTGTAAGAAGACTTGATACATTCAAACAGTTTTCCTATGTGGCTAGATGCTTTGCTCACTTTCACTATATTTGACTTTATATTTGAAATCATACTTGCAAGATTCCTTTTTTCAGTTTCAGAATCTTTAGAAGAGACTAAACCAACAGTATCCACCTCAAGTACTTTCTTGTCATTTATTGAGGAACTTGTTGAATCTGAGAAACTTTCTTCATTTAATATAGTATCTAATGTTAGATCTTTTAATGAACATAAAAGTCTTGCCTCAGTTTCTTCCAATTCTGTAGAAATAATTGACAAAGATAAAACTTGTTTTTCAAAAAAAGAAAATAGTTCAGAAACCATTTTATGTAATCGATCAATAGTTCGTACAGGATTCAAATGTCTAGCCTTCAAGGAAATATCCTTTGCATATTTTCCACGATTTAATATTTTTGATTTGCCAGATTTTGATGACTGACAAGTATACTTCAAGAGTATTATACTTCTTTTTAGATCCAGAAGCTTTTTATTGGCACTGAAAAGTAGAGTATCTTTTTCTTGTAGTTTCTTCTGCAGGTCTAAGAGTTCAATTTTTAACGATATAACCTCTTCAGCTGCTTGTTTTAAACCTTTATTTACAGAAGCAGATTTTTGAAGATTTTTAAGGAAACAGTCAACTCTTAGAAACACTTCTTGTAACACAGTAAAGTCACTAATATTATCATTATAAAATGATATATTTTTTGCATGCCCTAAGCCTGAATTTTCCTTATTCATAAATACTGCATTCTGTGTGTTTTTTTCTATCAGTCTGAAAAACATTTTTCTTAAATGGGACATTTCATTCCTTAAAGAAATAACATCATTGCTATCATCATCATTATTTACTATGATGAGCTTTCTAAAATGTTTATTTATTTTAGGAAAGTCAAAATCAGCAGTCTGAAATGGCAAATTCTCTTCTTGGGAACTTATTGCATCTGAAACAAATTTCTTTGCAATGCATCTTTTGGAAGGTGAACATATTTCATTCTGAATGTCTTTTAAAATAATATCATTAGTTTCAGGTGTTCTTATTAACACTGGATCACAGACAGATGAAAAATCCCTTTTTGGTACAATAATATTTTGGCTAGCATTATTAACTGTATACATTTTATCCAGTTTTAACTCTACAGCATCAAACTTTGTTTTAGAATGATTGTTTTCAACACAGCATTTCATTTTACACACGAAATAATTATGTTCACATCTACAGCACTGATGTAAAAGAGAACATGATTCTTTTTTAACTATTGGTTGAAGTATGGCACCATCATTTATATTTAATTTATCAGTGTGAAAAAAATTTTCCTTAAGCTCATCTGTAACAGTTTCATTCAAATTTAATTTACAGATTTCTTTATTTTTATCATTTCTTAATGCAATTTCATTTTGTAAAGATAAAATAATTTGATCTTTTATTTGTTCTTTTTCTTTCAATATGGATATCTGTTTATTTTTTATGTCACATTGGTACATCAAATGTGATATAGTATCCTGTTGAAGCTGAATTTGTTCTTGAAGTTTTTTCATGACCTCATCATTTGTGACGCAAGACTGACACTCAAATAAATCTTCTATACCTAAGCATTTATTTAAATCAAAAGAATTGACTACAGTAGAAATTGCCTGATTATTTGTGGATGACATTAAACTCAAATTGGTGAAAGAATCACTAATTTTGAGATCATCGTCACATGAATGGCTAATTATTCTTTCCAATTTGTCCTGAATTTTAGACTGATTTGCTTTTGCAAATTTCTTATCTAATATTTTTCTAAAATAAAAGTTTGAATTTAAATACTTTAATTCTTTCAAAATGTCTATTCTACTTACACTGAAATTGTTTAATAGTAGCTCTGGAATATTGTTCTCTAAGAATTCAGGAATGTATTCGTGAAAGAATGATATAGAATTATTAAGTAATTCAGGAAACAAACTTTTTAAAAATATAATAAAGAACCAAAACTCTTTATGGAATGAATCAGTTTCTAAAATAGCATTTTTGTCATAATTTTGCTTTGTACTAAACAATTGCAAAACTTTCTGCACATATTTAATAATATTTTCACATTGAATGATCTTTAAAGTTTTATTTTGCTTTATCTTAGACTCAATAAATGTTAACATTTTCTTTTGGTTCTGTAAATAAAATTCAGATTTCACCTGATCTTCATATAATAGGCTAACATTCGAAATGTCATCATATGCACCAAGAGTAGCATGACATGAAGAAAATGGAACAATATTTATCACTTTATCATCAGTGCTATTGGATGATACTGCATTTGGAAAAACTACATTTTCCAAAAGAACATCTGTTTCATAGACCTAAAATAGTGTAGAAAAAACATTTGTTTTATATTATATTTCAACAATAAATGTACAAAAATAGAGATTTGAAAAAAATTTAAATCTGGCAATTTAATCTGTGTGCATAGGCAGCCATTTCTCAGCAAAATACATGATTTAAACTATATTTTGAAGAAAGCAAAGGGTATAAATTTTTATCCATACTAAGTGAAAGCTTACAAGGAAGGTCTACCAAACTTAACTCCAGACTGATTTTAAAAAAATACATTTGATTCTGCACATTACAAAAAACTGTATCAGTTAAAATAAGCTGTTAAATTCTTATAGATAATGTAGAAAAATTATAAATATGAAATGTTTGACCATCATAGTTTAGCTTTCTCTGACTGAATTTAGCTGATTTTCAAATTTCTGAGAGTTGCAAAAATAGAAATATGTATGTGTTTCCAGCAATCAATTTAGACTGATTTTGTCATTAAATTTTTTAACATTTTAACATTGTGTGCATCTAAATAAATAGAACCGTTCTCAATTTTTTGTATATTGTTCATGTTTATTGACTGAAATTATATTCTAATTGATGCAAATAACTTCACTGTTTTATCAAAACCATATCATCAGTGCTTCATTAGTATTTACATATTAGCACAACAACTAAGGGAAAATTGTCAAATTTTTCAAAATATGCTAGCTTTGATAACAATGCGCATAGCAGTTCCTTAGTTTTAATAAGCAACGCCATTACTTTCATGTGTGTTGATTTTGCAGTACTCTAAATAGACAAATGATGATATTTTTTGTCTCCAGATCAAATTTTAATTTTTCAAAGTTTTTTTTTTTTTTTTTTTTTTTAGATTTATATTTTATTTTATTTTTATCAAAAAAAATCTTTGAATTTGATTTAAAAAAGCTTTGCAAAATTATGGTATTTTTTAACGATTTAACAATTTTAAAATGTTTGCAAAATTTATCAGGAATGGATGAAATTGCAGTATAGCAGGAATATAGCAGTTTATCACAAATTTTCTAAAAGAAAAAAAAAAGTAATCAGCAAGAAACTTCCACCAGAACAAAAGGTAAACAACCCACTTATAAGAGTATTTATTGATGGATTTTTCTGGGATAAATACCTAATTAAAATGTAAGATATATACGTGAACATTTTTATTCAGTTATACATCATCATGCTGCAATGTAATCATACTTCTGGGATGGAAGACGAAACAGGTTGTCTTTCCCGATTTTTTTTTTAAAAAAAACGAATTAAATTCCATGTTAAAAAAAACTCAGAACTAATGTCCAAAGGATAATGTCACAAGATCAGGGTTTGTACACATTTCTGCACACAGAAATTAAGTACTTTTAAGGACTTTTAAGGACCATTAATGAAGAATATTAAAAACCTATGAGCAAATGGGAACTGAATAAATTCAATTAAAAATATTATTTTATGTTTGAATTTAACTTTTGTAATACCATCCTAAAAATAAAAAAGATCCCTAAATAGTATGCATTATTACTAAACATGAATTAATTAACATGATTATTAATAAGTTTGAGAATAAAATAAACTTCATGTAGTTTATCAAGTAGCATTAAACAATTTACACTTATAATAGGTTGGACATATTTGAAAGAAGATAAGTGACATTTATGTATTACTAATAGTTAGCTTTATGTTGATTTTTTTTAATGTCTCATTTTGTCACATACTTGGTCAGTCTAGAACAGAGGTTCTCAAGTGCTGGTACACAAGAAAAAATAGGTGGTACACAAAGAGGCAAAGTATTTTTAACTATTTGTTTCAAAAACTAAAACCCCAACATCCTGATTGAGTTTTTTCTCTAACACTTGAAAATTTATGCGATCTGAGCTTTGTTCAAGAGTTGTTGTGGTAGTACAGTCAAAAGTCATTAATTCGGACAACCATAATCTGGAACTCAAAGCTAAAATCTTTGTGCGCATGCACCTCGTTGATGCATGCGCATAGGCGTTTACGTGTGCGCGCAAGATTTTACGACTGCGCATATGCGTCTGCGCAAGCCCAGAATATGTTTATGCATGCGCGTTTAATGTATAACGGACGATATAAGCTAAGCTAAAATTATCTAATTCAGTTAATGTTGCAGATTGCATTGTTCCTTAATCTTCGAATTGGATTCGGCTTATTATTTTTTGCAGACTGTTAGAACAATGTTATAAAAGTAAGCTTGAACTTTCGATTATGTCAAATAGAATTTCTGATGCTGGAGCTCCCAAAGGATCTACAAAACGAAAGTATGTTTCGATGTCCATCAAACAAAAAGTGGAATTGCTACAAAAAAATGGATAAAGGCATATCCTTTGTTTATCTAACCGTTCCGAAATCTGTTTATCAATTTCACGCTGCTCTGCGCTGGGGGAGGGGGCATCGCAGCGCGCAATGAACTGGAAGTTGATCTGTCAGCACTATCGTTATCTTCAGGGCAGATGTTTTTATTTTATTCGGCTTATAAATCCTTACTAAATGCAGTATTTCATCTCGATGTACTCCGTCTTTGATTTAAATCAAATTCCTCGTCATTATAAATATCACGAATACAAATCAAATAGTTTTCTGGTTGCAATTTTCTAATTTCGGCTATGCGTAATGTATGCTTTACGCAGGCGCACGTTGAAAGAAATGTTTTAATAAAGTAAACAAATAAATATTAAGCTTCTTTTTTTGTAAATTTTGATACTCTTTAGATCATAATTGCTCATTATTTTATAAATTATAGTTTCATATTTTTAATTTTATAATTTCTGCATGCCATCTTACCAGATTTAAACTGATGATCTATAATCCGGAAAAATCGATAATCCGGAATCGCCCAACGAGTCCGGATTAAAGACTTTTGACTGTAGTATTTTGTAGTGGTAGTACTAAAGGTTTTCAATTTTTGTTTAGATGGTACACGTTAGTCAAAAGGTTGAGAACCGCAGGTCTAATAGCAGGTAGATTTTATGTCAAACGGCATAGGTTAAAATGAGAAGTAAGATCATAATCATCTTCATTCATAACCCCAAAAGACTGAATGTGATCACCATTGCTGCTTGTCTAGAATGAGACCTAATTTTTAATTTGAATCCTTCCCAAACATTTCGGCTAGTTTATATCGAAGTCCTTCCCTTTAAGCATCTTTTCTAACAATAATTAGAGATTTGTCTCAATACGCAAACCAATACTCTTGCTAGTTTCTGCGTGCTTTATCTCCTAACTTGTCAACCTCTCCACAACGCACCTATGAGGGTCTACTTGATCTGGTAAAAGTTAAATAGTCCAAAACCCCCAATAGACATGAAGCAAATTATCACTATGTCTGAAAGTAATTGCAATATCAGACAAAGGTTTAAATAAGCCTCTTATTTAAAAAGAACTTAGAACAAACATAAAGGCATGTTCTGATGCTAACAAAGTCAATTACATCTCACGGTGACGTAATTAAACAAGAACAGTCAAATTCAAACTAAAAATGTGGACTAGTGGTCAAAGATTATACCACAATTTAATTTTAATTTAATCTACCTCTGTTATAAGTATTTCTCCGACTTCCCTAGCGTGCCTTCGTGGTGTAACGGTAGCATGCTGGGCCGGTATTCCAGAGGTCTGTGGTTCAATTCCCGGTGAAAGCGGTTGCATATTTTTTCATCTGTCTTGCTTCCAAAAAATCCTAATGTCTCTACAAGTGACGCCCAAACTAAAAGGGTTGTGGATGATGATTCTCCGCACCCAGGATTTGGCGACTAGGTCCCCTAAAACCCTAGACGCCCTTTAAAAAGGGGAGTATATAAGGTTTTTCTCCCACTTCCCTAGCATGCCTTCATGGTTTAACGGTAGCACGCTGGACTGGTATTCCAGAGGTCCGTGGTTCGATTCCCGGCGAAGGCGGTTGCATATTTTTCATCTCTTCTGCTTCCAATTAACCTAATGACTCTACACTGTAACTGTATCATATGAGGAAACAGAAATAGAAAATTATAGTAAAGGCTGAAATCATAAACAAATGGGTAATTTACATAATAATATCATAATAACTTCAGATATCTTTGAAGAAAAATTTTCTTTATATATTCAGTTTCTTTCTTCAGCATCTTTCCTTTTCATTTTAGAATTTTTGGGTTTAATTAAGGATTTCTGTTTTTCTAAAAACCACTAAACGCATTAAGAATGTATAGAAAAAGTGACTAATTTAATTTCGTTTGTAATATGGAATTCAGAAGAAATATAAAATATATATGGTAAAGGCCAGTTACAGAGCTGGTGTGGCAGAATTTTTAGAATTTAGTAACACACCAAACAACAAAATCTAGAAATGGCAAAACTTTTAGAATTTAGACAGGCATTGGAAGCAGAATTTAGAAAGACACTATGCAGTCGATTTTAGGATCCACAGAGATTGCATCAGATGGGAAAACGCCTAGTGCCAGTTCTGTGTATGATGCATTAAGATACATTAGATGGATCTTTTAAATACTAAGTTTTCAATTTCTTTATTAATAAAAAAATCCCTTCCTATAATGCCTGCCCAAGTGATAAGATTAGAAGCATTTTTGATATTTTCCATGCTTGTGTCTAGTGAAAAATAGAAATATAAAGGGAAGATAAACATGTTAAGAAAAAGATTCTAGTATCAGGAGTAAAACATTCAAATATTATGTCTTCATTGTTCTTCCAGACATTCTCCAAAAAGTAAGAAATTCATCGCAAACTTTCTATAAAATACATCCATTACGCATTGATACCATGGAGACATTTTTCATTTTGTCACATATTTCTCGAATCTTCTAGAATTGTCGGTCTATAAATCTTGCCTTCAAATCCTTCTAAATTTTCCAAGCTGCAATGTCAAAAATACTAAAGAAAAATTATCCCAACCAATTCTGCAACAGCGAAAAGCCAGAAATATTTTGGAAAAAAAAAGGAGGGAAAATGTGTAAAAATAATTTTATAGAGAAAACTTATGCATATTCTGAGAATTTTGAATATTCTGAGTCAA